CATCCTCGCAGGCCTACATGGAACTCCCTCCGCCTGGTTCTTTGATGACATCATTGTTATCAGGTGCAACGTTTCCACACTCATTTTGGAAAACCTCGGCCCAGTTTCTTTGACCACATCACGAAAGCGGGCTCAAGCTCCAACCCTCAAGTGCGCACTCTTAAACCCTATGATCACCGTTTTAGGGTTCAACATTGTGACCCAATAAGGCATTGCTACATTATCAGCAAGATCGCCCGGTGGCCTTGGGGCCGACACCACATGCACGCGTGATGTGCAGCGCAGTTTGTTGGATTAGCGATTAACTTAGGTCGCTTCATTCAACATTCCACCCTCCGATTGCCAACCCGCTCCACGCCACCGCCTCACAGAGAAACAGCACCCTTCAAAATGACAACAGACGCATGACCCGCATTCGATGTTCTTAAACAAAACACCGACTGATGACAGCCCCTGTGTTCGTACACACACGCTATACCGGCAGTTCATCTTAGACAAACGAGCAGTGCTATGTGAATTGGTGCAGTTTATCTCCGCTCCACGATGACGGTAATGAGTCATGCCTTGCCTATGTAAACAAGCTGGACACTCCGCAAACTGAACGCCATTATGTGTCACTAGGCGGGAACTCTCGCCGATGTCACCTGCATTCATCACTTTCGACCATACCTCAGGCCAAAATTTTTCGGTCCCCTGATCACAGTTCCATCACATGGCTCTGCGAAGTTGCAAACAACACGACATGGCAACTGGCGCGTTGGACTTCATGATAACCTCCAGAATACGACTCTCAATTTCACACTGACAGGAAGAAGCACAATAACGCTGATGCACTTTCCAGGCGTCTGTGCTCCCAGTGTGAACGCACTGACACCCAGTGCTGTGCTGCCAACCACCTCGACTTCCGACCACGCAAGCATTCACCAACCCATCTGGATGACCCAGACCCAACAGCAACGCAGCAGGTTGCTGCAAACCGCTCTCTACAGATCTATCACAGAGACTCTCAGTTCTTAAACGACAGCTCTATTGGGCTCATTCTGACGGCGTTCGAATCTGACAAAACTCCCAGAGAAAGAAAGAGCTCAAGAGCCGGAGTCAGAAAGCCGCTCACTCCATCCGCAGTGGTACATGCTGCAAGTCAAACATGGCAATTTATGGAAAAGTCCTTCCCTGCAATGATGAACAGTGGTCTGTCCTCCAGCTGGTTGTGTCACACTCTCTCCGCACCACATCCTTCGGGAACTCCATGACAAGCCCTGTTGGGGGACCCTGGCCAGGATAAGGTAATTTGGCAAGCTGCAACAAAGATTCTAACTGGTCATGATCGTTCACGGATGCCAAGAGGTGGTGCAACACATGCCCTGCGCGCTGCCCGTAAGACTCACCCACCCGTCAAACAAGCACTCTGCAACCATCCCTGGCCGGAACCCCCCATGTCAAACAGTGGCTGTTGATATTCCTCGGCCATTCCTGGCAGCCTTTCAGAATCGTTACATATGGTAGCAATGGACTATTCACTCGGCGGGCTGAGGCCTACGCCCATCCCAACCACCTCCACACTCAGTTTCCAACTTCTTCACTTCCTTTCTCACCACCAGAACAGCTGCATTCCGGTCAGGTTACCAATTTGAGTCCGGCCTGGACTACAGGAGGTCTGCCGAACTCTGGGTATCCACAAACTCCACAACTCCTACCACCTGCTGGCCTGGACTAGTTTAGTATTCTCGCTACGGCTTCCAAAGGACCCATCGTCCCATGGAACACACCTGCCAAAGCTCTACCTGGCATACCAACTAGCATCAACGGGTATATCCTTAATGTTCGGCCGTGAGCCCCGACTCCCTGTTGACTCATGTTGGCCATTCCCTACAGACGCCATCTCTCCTAACGAATTGCGGCCCAGCTCTAGAATTCCTACGGCAGGCCTTCCAAAGAGTTCGCACAAATCTAGCACGGTACACAATCGTCAGAAGCATTGGTATGACCACACATCCATGGCACTCCATTTCCCACTGCGACCTCGTATGGTTACTAACACCGTGTTCCACCAGGACAATCTCCAAACTTCACTTTCGTGGTCAGGCCCGTACGTGTTCTACAGCATTATCAGATTGCAACCTACAGAATTCAAAGTTGTGATGGGGAAGAAGCGCCTCCATATCGTTTCATTTTCAACCCTTAAGCCCTTGTCACAGATCTGCACGCTTACCGACGTAGATATCACACACCACAAATCATCAAGGTTTCTCGGATACAATCCTCTCGTCGCTCTTCCGAGGACGAACCGCCTGACGAAGAAACCCCAGACAGACATAACCAGTACTGTGCAGGTTTTACGGTATCCCTCCGCAACGCTGCCCACCAGATCGGCTAATAGGCAGAATTATCAATCTGCAACAGTGAACGTACCCATGGACCAACATACCGTAATGTTTACACGATTCTGCTAAAATAATGAAATGCTCGCTTCACTCACCAAAAGTGCATGCATTCCTCTAGTTTAGACCTAAACAGTTGCTTCACTCTTTAATACAGGTTCTAACTTAAGCTAACTGCTTACTTACCCTTGGTATGAAGACAAGTCCGATGATCGTGGTGGTTCCCAGCAGTAATCCCATTCCCACCACAGCTGGGAAGGCATTCACATACTCCCTCAGAGTATAGGTGGAGACAATGATGACAGTCAACACAATACTTGTGACGTACACAGAGGCAGCAATGTACACAGAGTCATCCAGACCCTTCACCTTCACATTGCGAGTACGAAAAGCCAGGAGCAGAGCCAGGACTTGCAGAATGCCTTTGTATCCAAAAAGAATTGCATACAGATACACTTGTCCTTTAGATTCACAAATGTACAGAGAGTACTTGTGACGCTCAGCTGTCACCTAAGAGAGATTGATGTTATTGTGATAATAACAAGGCTACCGACATTTTTTCCGTGATGTAGTGCATGGTAACTTGCTCATTACACAGCAATAATTCACGAAGCTACATGACACTATCCCTATATCTTTGTTTGATATTAAATTTTGCTTAGGAACAATAAGGATGGTGGTTAGTAAGAGCTTTAATATCTTGTTTTTAGATATTGGTGTCGATAATATGCCCCTTACGTAAACACCTGCTCTTTATGCCAGACAAAAATTAGTAATAAATGAATGGTAGCTACTCATCTTCAGTATGAAAGTATAATATACTTACTCCAAATGTTTCTTCTGGCAGTTCTCTGTTAGATGTCAGTTTTACTCCAAGATTATCTCGGGTAGCTTCAATCACAGTATAAAGCAGAAGAATGACTACATCAATGGTGGCCAGACACAGTACAAACAGTGTCATCAGATAGTCCCTGAACAGTCGCTGTATGTTGCAATAATGATGCTGGAAGTAAGTAGGTATAAAAATCTCACTTACTGCTTTGAATTCAAGAGGTCTGTTAAATATAACCCAAACTCTTATCATCTTAATTATGATAATCCCATAACAAAGAGAACACCCTAGAGATATCAGCCAGGGATTGACCTTGAAGATAGAAAAATGTTGTAAAAGTTAGTGTGAGAGTTCTTTAGTTACATACATTGCATATTACAGCAGCTAAGTTCGGGTCTTTAGCAGGGATGACAAGAATGATGACATTTATGTAGAGAACTATAGCTCCCAGTCCAATCATGTAGTTAAGGTTTGGACTGGAGAGTCGAATCAATCTAAATTGATAAAAGCATGAGCTCTGTTAGACCATCACGTCACCTGACCTACATTAATTGAACCTTTCATTTCGGAAGAAGATGGTGAAAACAAGACAAATGATGGTAAAGACAAGTCCAGCTGCAGCAAGAATCACGTAGACAACGGTAAGACCTATGGTGACTGTCACCACCTCCTCAATTGGCACTCCGTCAGTAGGAACACCGTCTGAGCAACACTCAACAATTCATGTGTTGAAGTTTAAAAAGACGCTTACTGCCTTACCAGGAAAGAGAAAAGAGTCATTTGTATGTTGAAAAGTACTATAATCTCCAACATTTACAACTTCCCCAACTTCAACACGTATAATTATCTCTATGACAACAGTAATAATAACCACATACTATGCGTCATAATACACATACCATCATCATTTAATTGGTATTGCAGAATTCTCACTTGGTCAATGTCACGAATTCCTTCATGATTGAATCTCACATCGTTACCCTGTGGGACAATAGTAGGAAGTAGCTAACATTACGTTGTACACACCTGAAATACAAATAGTTTTTTTCACAATATCATCACTGCTGAAGGCAACAATATTGAAATATGACAACAAAGCATCTTTTACATTGATAGGCGAAGGAATACAATGACTCTCTACTCTCTGTGTAGTCTTATAATAACTGTAACTGAATGCACTAACACTTATTCCAGGGAACATGGTGTTCTGGAGGTGTTCAGACATCCGAGACACAACTGCTGAGTTGGCATAGGTGAAGTTGGCCATTGTGAAGGTCTCTCCTTCAGGAAGACCACTTTCCTCTGCAGCTTCTCTGTTTAGCGTCTCATTCTCAGCAAGATCTAAATCACAGGAATTGCATTTTTTTGATTTGCACATATAAACTTACCGGCTATTGTTTTGCTTAAGGCATAAGCATAAGCAAGGGTGGCTTCATTGCACTGGTAGGCATAAGGGAAAATGTAGTCAGTGAACTCTTCCAAATTGTTCTGGCTATTGATGCCCCTCCTCACAACTTCGTGGTAAAGTGAGTTGAATTCTGAAAGGGTCTGAAGAAAACAGCACGTTATTTTGTTAATAACAGTGACTCTGACGTGCATAACAAAAACTTTCAAAGTAAAGACACAATTCCATGAATGGAAAGCACTCACTATGTTTGGTTCTGCTGTGTATTCATCTTGCTCTCTAGGTAACTGAGATGGAACAGCAGCCAAGCTATAGAGGAGGACCTGGGCTCTCTCCTCAGCCGTGCAGTTGGTGGATGGTGCATCCATCTCCCACCACTGTCTGACATACCCGCCAAAAGTTATGATGACATACTTGGGATAATGAAATCCACGTCTGTATGCCTGCAGCCAATGACTTGCTAGAGCAACAAGAGCTTCTTGACTTATTGTCGTACCTCACAAAGTGCATCCCTTGCATGAGGAATGTCCATTGCCAACACATATATTCTTGTTTCTGAGTTCTTAAGAAAATGATGGTTTGTTCACTTATAATACACATGCACATTTGCTGGTGATCAATATCAAATGCACATAAACTAGCTACCATCTCATAATTGTTTCAAATTTCGAAAGGAATGTCTCGAATTAATGTTTTTTAACACTATATAGCTACTGGAAAGTATAGATCTGAGGAATAAAACAACTTACAAAAGCGTTAATGCTTGGCACAGTTTCCTCACTTCTAAACCGTACTTCTGTGTACTCCACTGCATTCTTATCTAACATATCCTTCAAAACATCCATAGTCTAAAGAATATTAATGAGCTATAATAGGAGCATATTTCATTAATGGACATAAGCTCACTGCAGTGAAGACATTTTCATCCTGAGCAACAAGTCGGACTTTCCTCCAACCAAAATGTTGAATTATTCCAAAAAATCCATGCGCACCAAGCAGATTTGTGGCTACAAGCTGGAAGTAGTACCTAGAATTCAATGTTGCAGCATCGAACAAAGGAAGCATCATGCAGGAATAAAGAGTGAAGGTAACATACTGCTATATAGAGGAGTTTTACTATACCTAAATCTTTCTCTATTTTGCAGGTCTGGTGATGAACTTACACAAGACAACTAGTGAGAGAGGAGAGAGAGAGAGAGAGAGAGAGAGAGAGAGAGAGAGAGAGAGAGAGAGAGGAGAGAGAGAGAGAGAGAGAGAGAGAGAGAGAGATTACTGGTAGTGACTTACAGTATTATGACTATTGCCAAGAATATTAGAAAAATGGTTAATAACATAGGTATTTTGGCTACTTAAGTACCACTTAAAATGGGCTAAATATCTGAGCATAATTATTTTGAAAGTAGCAAAATTGATGTATAACATTATACTGTGGTTACAGTACGGATGGTCTAAGCCTAATTACCTGTGTGATGTTGTAAAAGTGGGTCAACTCGGCTGTTGGCTCTGTTGCTGTTGAACAGCCAGACCCCACCCACCCTATCTTAATAGGCGGATTCTTCAACTGGCTAAAGTAAGAACTCAGGGCTGTTTGCCTGTTACACTGTGGACCGAAATGTATTGAGTAGTTAAAAAGAAGAGATGAACTGAAATGACAGGTGTAGAATGTAATAATCAGAACTATATATTGGTGAACCAGTGCCAATTTGACTCCAGGGACAGAATATATAGTTACTGGTCGGCTGTAAATGCATTATAATAAGAAAAACAAGCCTCGTTGTGTCTGTGCTGTAGTGGAAGAGCCTAGAGCTCCCTATCTGCTGTTTACCCAACACCTGTTGTCACTGCACACCCTTTTCCTTCTTCCACTTTTATGTTGTACATTCTGACAGCTCTGTGTTTATTGCCGATGATAGTGGCCCTGTGACTACAAATACACCTTTCTCTGAGAGTTTACTAAAGTAGCCTGTTAGCTATTACATCTTAATGTAAATGGACATGGCGGAATGAATAAACAGTATGAATCTTTTAAACAAATGGAGGGAAGGCTTAAAACCCTTTGGACGCCATCTTA